AACTCCTTCCGAAACTTCCATCACCGACGCGAAAACGCCGTCGTCGTCATCGGCGTTATCGGCATCGGCGCCGTCACTGGCCGCGCCGTCGTCGTTGTCGTCAACGTCGCCATGATACCGCGCCTGGCCGAATCGCCGACTCGCACTGAAATGCCCGCTGGGAAGTGCCCAACGGTCAGCGCCACCGCGGCCGCGTCGGTCGCGCCGCGCTAGCTGGTCGCTGCGCGCGCGAGCATGCGCGGGCTAGCGGCTAGCGCGGCCGCGGCGATGCGCCAGCCAGCGCCGAGCACTCATCGCAATCGCCGCCGCATGGGTTTTGCAAACCAGGTTGCGGGTGGGCGGATGGGATTATTGCGCGAGCAGTGGAACTGACAATTCAAAACGGAAAGCCATGCATTATCCGTTTTATAAGAACGTGGATCTACCCCCCCCCGGACTTCACGGCATTTCTTCTCGCAGGGCAAATTGCATACGGTTCTGCCCCATCGCCCATCCTGACGACGAACTCATACCATCCCAGGGAGGCCCGTTTCGACCCCCCACTCATCCTCTGCAAAGAATACGTTGCGCGCGCACTCGTTTACAACAAATCAGCCGTTTCCGATACACTCCTGGACTCTATTTTCATATCTGTAATCATATAACTATGAATGACCCCCCCCCAAAAAAAAAAAAAACGTGGCGAAATGCACGCGCGCGTCGTCGGGCGCGCATGCTGAAACCGGTTAAAAAAACTTAACTGTCGTAAGGGTTTCAAAATCGAGCGCCCCAGAAACGTTTGTTAAACATAAAAGCATGGCTTCAATATAAGAACACACAAGCTTGTCATCATGTTCATATCATTATACCAAGCGGGCCTCTCGCGAGCGCATGTCGAAATCGCTCGAACGCCCTGGCGCAGGCGCTGTCGCAAGAAGTCCTAGCACACGACGGGACGAAGTGCGCGAGCGCGTCGACACGCGCGCATGCCGAAATCCTGCAACAACCATAGGTTCGTAATAAGTTCAAAACGAGCGTTCCGAAATCACACGAAAACACATGGTGTTGCACCATTCGTTTTCAAAGAAAATGCCTGCGCGCGCGCCCTGGCAAATGCTCAAGAAAACCATCGATGGTTCAACATTGCGACAACTTTCTGCCAAGCGGGCCCCTTGCGCCTCAACGACGGGACGAAGTGCGCGCACGCGTCGTCGCGCGCGCATGCCGAACTCCTGCAACTTAGGTTCGTAAGAAGTTCAAAAACGAGTGTTCCGAAATCATATTAAAGAACACATGGTTCTGCACCATCGGTTTTCCAAAACATGCCTGCGCGCACGCTCTGGCGAATGCTTAGGAAGACCATAGATGGTTCAACATTGCGATCAATTTCTGCCAGACGGGCCCCTCGCGCCGCATGTGGAACTCATCCGACCGCCCTTGCGTGCGTGCTTGGGGGGGGGGGGGCACGACCCGTGTCGCAAATAACCACACGGGGCATTCGCGCGGGTCGGCCGCGCGCCCATGTCGAACTCTTTCCAAAACCTTCATCGCCGACGCGGGGACATCGTCGCGGTTCCTTTTACAACATGTGGCTCGTGCATTGACGCCGCGCACATTCGTATCACAAATTTGAAACAGATTGACGGATGGAGGGCGGCTATCTTTCAGAATGTGGCTCACGCCGTTGCGCCGCTCACATTCGTCTTGTAAGTTTGCACAAGCTTGTGGGATTCGTATGGTCCAAATCCCAGGAGTGGTGTTCTGGTACGGTTTAGCACTGTCAGTACAACAGCGACGTTGATTCGCGGTGTTGGAACCTCAGGATGGTTTCTGGCACCGCTTAGGCTTGTCAAGACGCAACAGCCACGTTGGTCTGCAACGCTGAAGTCCCAGGAACGGTGTTCTGGCACGATTGGCAATTCTCAAACGGTTATCGTCTACTGGGTCATCTCCCGCAGCGATAAAAAACCATTATGGGCATCAGAGGGTTTACTTCAACATCGTTGGCGCGTCTTGGGTTCACTGGCCCTCCTCGAGGATCCCGCTCCTCGTCCTCCTGCTCCCCCTGGGAGGACAAGAACATACCGATACCGCTACTCCCTGGACCTCGCCCACGGTGCGCTCTGACAAGAACTCCGAGGCGATATCCATCTGTGCCGACGAGGGCCGCCCATGAAGCCCAGGAAGGTGAAAACGAAGGAAGGGCAGCGTTTACAGGAACCTTTTTCCTCGTCTGATCCTCTGCCCTCCTCCGACGACGCCGACGCCGACACCGACGCCGACGCCAACGACGACGACTCCGACGCCGACACCGACGACGACGCCGACGGATGCCGAGGCCGACGCCGAGGCCGACGGCGAGGCCGACGCCGACGCCGACGCCGACGCCGACGACGACGACGCCGACGACGACAAAGTCCGCAAGGTCGGCGACAACGAAGTCGACGAGACAGACCGCCGCGTTGCCTGCGCGAGCGCGGCATTCTGGTCGATGCCGGCCCGCTGGCACAGGTCGAGGAGCCTGCGGAGGCCAGGGGCGTGGTCTCATCCTCCCCCTCCTCCTCCTCCTCCCCCTCCTCCTCCACCTCCTCCTCCACTTTCTCCTCCACCTCCTCCTAATCTTGCTCCCCGCTCCCCCTCCTCCTCCTGCTCCTGCGCTCCTCCTCCTCCCTCTCCTCCTCCCCCTCGGTCTAGGCTAGTGACCAGCTTGGCTCCAGCCAGTCCGGCTCGAACCCCAAGCCAGCACCATAGGAGCTCCCGCTCCGACCATGTCCTCTCGCCTCGCGCTCCCGCTTCGGCATGGATCAGGCGCCGCGGCGCCGCCGGCCCAATCGCACTGCGGCCGAGCGCCGAGCTCAGTATGCACGTGCAGATGGGCGCGCGGCCATGCGGCTCCTGCACGCCTTCACGGAGATCGAACGGCACAGGGGCCAGGGCCTGACGAGCCTCGCCCAAGCGCTCCGCCAAGCGTTGGCTGGCGAGCCGGCTGGTGCAGCCGATGGAGCCCGTCCTGTACCTCCTCCAGGCCCGGCGCCTGAGGGCGAGCAGGCTGGCGCGTCGCCGGCACCAGCATCGACCTCGCAGTTACCCGCAGCCTCAGCGGGACTCCCGCGGGAGAAGGCTGCCCTGGGGAGGAATGGCGAAGCGGTGTAGGCGGGCGGCGAGGTGGAGTTGGCAGCCCCTGGAGGTGCCCCTGACGCTGGTCAGCTTTCTCCGAAGGTTGCGGCATTTGCGGCCGAACAGCCCGGCGCACCACGTGCTGAAGGAGGGTGCGAAAGGCCAGGAGGAGTGGGTTCGCAGGATCCCCCACAGCAACGCCCTGGCGTGTCGTCGGCCGACGGCGGCGCATGGGCCAGGCGGCGCGCGGCGCTGGTTGCAGATGGCGAGACTTTGCGGGGCGGAACCGCTGCTGCCGTGTCTGACCGTCGGCAAGGTGAGGCTTTCGCTTTCACGTCAGATGTCTTGGCCGAGTTGAACAGGGTTACGGAGCAGCAAGGGCAGCCTTCCAGCCTGCTTCACTCCTCATTTCAACGCCAAACGACGACTGCAAGAACCAGTAGCTATGTGTTTTGGTGGGTGGACTTTTTCGCTCGGGAATTTTGTTCGGGCCACTGCAAGAGTCGGGCTCTTCTCCACGGCATCGGAGCGTGCTTGGCTATATTTCGGCTGACCCTGGCCCAGGCCCACAGAGCAAGAAAGGCATATATGATTGTTTATTCTTGCTTGTGGGACTGTATATTCGCTGTTTGCTTGGTGTCAGAGGCGCTCTTGCGGTTTCTATTCATTTTGTTGTCGGGCTTCTCATCTCGCCCCTGGACATCGACAACTGGAGGGACATGAGCGTCTCGCGCAATATGGTGAACGGCTACTTTGTCCTGGTGCGGGGCTTCCTGGTCGTCGCGGCCCTCGTCGTGATCAGGGGGAGGAGTGCCCATGTATGTTTTGCTTCGCAATCTCTCTGAATTCCTCTGAGCGGGCGAGGCTTAATCGTAACCGACATGGTCGCAATATCCCTCACTCCGTAATTAACCCCTCGTTCTAGGCTGGACAATTGGACATGGGAAATAAGCGCCTCCACTCCCTCCATCTCCTCCTCCTCCTCCTCCTCCTCCTCCTCCTCCTCCTCCTCCTCCTCCTCCTCATCCTCCTTGCCGAGCACGTGCGTGCAGGGACATGTGGATGGCTGGAACACCTGCAGCTGGCGGTTTGGAGAGCCCAGGCAGTCAGCAGTTTCCTTTGGCTCCCCTTGAGGGCACTCGAGCGCTGCCCTGTAGCCAGCACCATCAACTACCTAAACGACGCCCCGCCCGAGACCGTAGGACGGGCAACGACCAGGACCCTGGCATTGCGCCTGCCCGGCATGCGTGGCCTCGGCCCGACGGACCTCGAACAGATCGACGCATCTCTGGAGGCACTAGACACGTCTCTGGGAGGCACCAAGCCCCGCAGGACCCAACGCACGAGGGCCCAGGAGCCGACGTGAGCTGGCGTCCACCCGCCGGCAGCCTCCTGCCGCCCCTCCCGCCACCGCCGAGGAAGCCTCTTGCCCGGGACCGACGCCTGCCCGGCAGGAGACGGAGCCTGCCCATGACTACCTACCAAACCACCCCAACCCAACCAGAAGTCCCGAATTTGGCCCGAATTTCGGGTGGGGGGGGTACGGGTTCCACGTGTTTTTTCCATGTTCCCAGACCGCCCCCCCACTGGAAATGGAGGGCATATCGTGGCCTTCGGGTTGGGTTGGGGTGGTCTGGTGGGCGGTGAGCCCACCCGACCGGCCCCGTGCATCGAGGCACCGGAGCCTCCCTTGACGAGGAGCCCGTCGTCCCCCCCTATTCCTGGTTCCCCCTCCTCTCTCTCCCCCCCCCTCCTCCGCTCCCCCCTCCCTCCCTCCCTCCTCCCACAGCCCTCACGCCGGCCCGGCTCGTTCGCAGCCGTCGGAAGCGAGCTGAAGCCAAGGAGAGGCGCAGACGAAGCATCGCCCCTCGGTCTTTTACATCGACCATCTGGCCCGACGAGGCTCGAGCAGCCCACTCCTCGCGGGCTCCCAAAAGGCCCAAAAGGTCTGCACATCACAGCCATCGTCCAGCGCCGCCCGTCGAGCGCAGGGGCGGGAAGAGCGGTGGAAAGATTCCCCTCCTCCTCGTCCTCCTCCCCGTCCTCCCCCTCCTCCTCCTCCTCCTCCTCCTCCTCCTCCTCCTCCTCCTCCTCCTCCTCCTCCTCCTCCTCCTCCTCCGCCTCGGAGGTTCCGAGGGTTTTTGGGGCTCCTCCTCATGCCTGTTCCTTCTCCCACCACGCGCGCGCGCTGTCGCTGGAGGAGACAACCCCAAATCAGTACCAACACCACCATGTTGGCAAAGAGCAGCGGAGGGTATTCGCACTGGTGCGGTGTCCCTGTTTTTCGGCGTCCCGCCCGAGGCACCACCAACCCCCAGCTCGGAGAGGCTCGGGAATCTTCTGACCCGGGTCAGTCCAGACCCGGGCCAGTCAGGCCCTGCAGGATCCTGCAGGATCATGCGACCCTGGCCCTGCAGGATCCTGCAAGATCCAGTGCTCTAACTGACCCCCGTCTGCGTTGAACCTCTGTCTCCTGATCCCCCGAGAGGCATCGTCGACCTCACCACCGGGGGTTGGGCTCTTTGGGGGAGGCTGTTGACAGCTATCGAGGGCTGCGGGCCTCTGAGGCCCCTCCGTCGTCTCCACGTCACGACGCGGCCCTGCGAACCCGGCTTGGACCAGATCTCCAAGAGTCGCGAAAACAGACGACGCCTGGTTTGTCGATGCTTCGGCCTCTGGGGGACGCCTCAGAGCTCCGAGGTCGAGGGACGTGTCGCAGCCGCCAGACTATAGCTGTCATCGTTTCTAAAGTGTCCCCGTGGTCGTTTCCGACTCGGACATCTCTAAGAAAAAAACACCACTCATAGATCCAGTGCAAACTGCAGGATGGGAAGGAGTGGAGGGGGGAGGGGGAGAACGGGGAAGGAGATGTGTCTAGCACATATGCATACACATGCGAATACAAGGCCACAACGCACGACGAATGTGACCACTGTGAAGAAGACGTGCGCGTGAATATTTACGAGAGCCATGCGCGCGCTACGTACGCGCTTGGGCTCTAGTCGACTCTGGCGACTCCGTGCATAAGCATTACATGAAGGCCTAGGCACCAGGGAACAGGGCCCCATGCGTAGACCCCCTTCCTTTCTCCCTTTGGGCTGCGGGGCCTCCTGGGGGGTGGCTCCGGACTCTAGGGGCGGGCGAAGGGCCGTCTGAGAGCGCTGCGGGATGCGTCGGCCGAGGGCCCCAGAGGCTTCAAGATCACCCGAAGGCGGCCGCAAGAGAGCCAGAGAAGAATCCCCACCTGACCCTAATCAGTCAAAATCTGGGGAGCCCCTTATGCTTTGAAGAGGTGGGGGGTGGATGCCCGACCCAACTTTCCGGCCGAGGATGACTACAAGAGGGCGCAGGAGACGTCGATGAACGAATACGGGCGGGCCCCGAAGGGAGGAGGAGGAGGAGGAGGAGGAGGCGGAGGAGGAGGAGGAGGAAGAAGAAGAGGAGGAGGAGGAGGAGGCGGAGGAGGAGGAGGAGGGGGAGCCGGAGGAGGAGGAGGAGGAGGAGGAGGCCCCTCGATGGGCTTCCAGCGCCTCAAGGTGTGGGGTCTGTGGGCTCGGCGGGCGGGCGTGGGACCGTCACGGGCCACGGGGCGCGTCCGGGGGGCTCCCAGACCGCCGTGGGCCCCAGTGGGCGCATGCTGGGGGTCCGTCTTGAGGGATATATCGCGGAGCCGTTGTGCTGGGGCTGTCTTGGGCCCCTCTTGGGCCCTCTCGGCGTTTTCTTGCTCGGGTCCGGGCTCTCGCTGGACAGTTCCTCATGTCCTCCAGTCAACCCGTATAGTAAGGATACGCCATAAGGATGCAAGGGCCTTGGAGGGCCATGTCGACACTTTGCGAGCAGGGCGCGGTCGGCGAACGCGACCAAGGATGGGCCGCAGGGAAGGACACAAGGGTAACCTCGGAAAACCGATCATCCTTACTTTGCGGGTTTGCTGTAGGAGTAGAGCCTTGAAATTGCGCAACAGCTAACTAACTGCATGGATCGAATGCGGATCGTCTTCAGAAATGGACTGTCGTTGGGCTCTTCATTGGACTTTCTGACTCTTCCTCTTGCCATTCCTTGCGGAGAGAACGGTTGAATATTAGAATGAAAAACTGAATAAACATACACTTCCGAAGTTCCGCGAGGATTTCTTGGATCGGCGCTGGAGGCGACGCCAGGATAGTCAAGCAACGATCCAAAAAGTCCGCAGCGACCTCCGATTAAAATTATGAAAACAGAAGCGATGGAGGGCAGGCCCTTTCCGAAAGGAGACCCCCGCCTGCACTGCCAGCCCACAGGGCGATCGCCTAGCAAGGAGGCGCCTGCCGCGGTGGAGAGGACTGCGTGCGAGGACCTACGAGGGGGGGATCTACGAAGGGAAAATAGGCTACATCACCGTTCGTGCATCCTGGGCTTACACTA